TTTGGGTCACCCTGTTGAAGGATATAAACGAAATTTTCTATTTGAGTCTGTGTTAACCAACTTAGTTTTGAGGTGTCCGTCACCTATCATTTTCTATCATTTTCATTCATTTTCCTTCCTAGATAAAAGAAGAAACTGTCAACCTGACTCCGCCAAGCTCTTTTATACCTCTAAACTTATTTATCACACACAATTTTATTTTGGATCAAATTTACTTCCATGATTAGGATTCTAAACAGGGTTTCATTTATCCTGGAGCCATTGGTTTCTGGAGAAAAATACTGCAGAATCCAGGGTTGTAACAGGAATTGGTATTTTTTAAAGGGGTGTTTATAGTTTTCTATGAAGAGTACTTTTTATAGGAGAAAATACAAAACATATCATCACAGAACATATCGAAACGAAACATATCAAAATAAATAACATGTCAAAATAAATAACATGTCAAAATAAATAACATGTCAAAAACAAAACATGTCAAAATACAAAACATGTCAAAATACAAAACATATAAAAAAATAAATTCAAAATTCAAAAAATAACAATTGGACACAATATATTGATATTTAAAAATGTAACACAAACACAAAACAATTTTATACCTTACAATTAGAACAAAATTAGTTTTCTCTTCTTAGTTGGAATAAAAGAAAAGTAAAACAAATTCAAGATAACAGTCAAAATTTCACTTTTCTATTTTCCCTTCACTAAGCAAAAATCCTATAGATCCAATTTAAATAGACCAATGAATGAACATTATGTGTCCATTTTCTTTACTTCTTACCTTCAATAGATCTGCTCACGCACCCCTCAGAAAAAGTAAATTCAACCTAAAGTCTGACCGCGTCAACCTTTTTGCATCGGCTAGTCCTATTGAGTGTCTGGCTTCATTTACACACTGACCGGTCGATACAGTACAAACTGGGACCGGAAAAGTTGACCCGGCTAGGAAATTCAAATGTACAACGGCTGCCCGTGTGCTTAGGGAAAATAACGTTTTCATTTTTTTTGAAAAACGATCGTTCGTTATGAAAACGACGACAAAAAATCGAAAACGAATCGTTTTTTAAAAACAATCGTATAAAAAACGGTTGCAAATAGTTTTAATAAAAACGATCGTTTCCAAAAACTTCGTTTTATTCGGTTTCTAAAAGTTCAAAACGAGGGGGTCGTTTTTAAAAATGATCGTTTTTTTCGGAAAACGAAACGAACGTTTTTGAAAACGAAACAAAAAACGATCGTTTTAAAAACGATTAACACTGCTGCTGCTGCACGGAGGTTTCGATCAAATTAAAAAAGAAGTTGCAAAAATGCTAATAAAAATATATTGACAAATATTAAAATCTACATGAATTGAATCCGGAATGGGTTTTGAGAAAGTATGCAGATTTTTTATCAGTAGTTTATCTATTATCTATTTTTGCAAAAATTCAAATAAATGTTTACAAAAAATCTTCTGAGTAAAGGAATAGAGTCTTTGCCACAAACCCAGATTTTTTAATCCCTTTATCTGTACAAACCAATGCCGTACGTAGACCTTAAATATTACAAACTAGAAATTATGTTAGATCAATTAATTTCAGTTTAAAATATTTAAAAAGGTTTAAACCATAAGGTTGCAAATATAAAGGTGTTTGATAATTTTAGGCTTTGGAAAAGACTCAATTCCGTTTCCTGAAAAAGGTAGTGGACGCCCCTGCCCCCCCACCTCAAATATTTTAAACTGTATAAGGTTGTGTTGTTTTCTAACAAATCTAAACAGGAATTAACCAATCAAAGAAGTGAAAGGTAATTAAGAAAATAAGATGGGGTAGCATGAAATATACATTCATAATATTAAATATATAATAGTTGCATCCTTTCACCTTCCTAACTAATCATAAAACAATGTGATAAAATTGTAACTGTAAAATGTACATAGGGGGGCAATAGTCCTCTTGCCCCCCTGAGCATCCCAGAGGGCTGCAGTCGCTTTTTGGGATTGCCCTCATTTGAAAACGAATGTCCCCACCCCCCAAGTTGTTTGTTTTATTGGCACCATTTATTTTCAAATTTTATCTTATTATTTCTCTTTAATTTAAAGCNGGGGGGGGGGGGGTAGCATGATACTTTATTCGGGGTAGAAGAATAAAGACACCGACTTCAGAGAGTAATACAGAACTATACAGAGTCATTATAATATATAGTTTTTGAATGTAGGATACGTGGGCTACATCATGTAGACTTTAAATAAAATAACAGCAATTTAATGGCTTAAAACAACGGGGGGGAGAAAACTCTTAGATATGTTTTCTTGATTCCCCCCCCCCCTAATCTAGTGTATCCGCCGTACGCAAATGTCGATCATATAAATAATATATTTTCATAAGTGAAAGGGTAAGAATTTCTAAGGGTTTCTGAATTTTAAGAGGCTTCAAAAAGATCTGAAATATTTCAAATACGTACTCGATAAGTTTGGTTTTGTATTACGTATAATGTAATATATTTCTCTCCAAACAAACAAAACAATTGATCAAAACGATTTTACCAAACATTTTGAAAAATATCTTTGGTGAGAGTAAATATTTTTCACAATGTAAAAAAAGCTTTTAAAAATACCGTTGTGAATCGGACCTAACACTCTGTAAACTTTAAATTGTGTCTAAAATATCTTTAATTATAAACAGAAATAAAGTTTTGGTGGTATTATTTTCAATATCTTTATTTAAAGTTATAATGAAAATTTTGTAATAATATTGGTGCAATTATTTTTCGTTACCAGATGATTGAAATGGCCCCCAGTGCATCGCATCCTCTTCAATGCATAAAATGGCACTGCTACTTAAATTATTTGATCACGCAGAATTTATAGTTTAAAATATCAAATGTCAACTAGGGCTGAAAGTCAGAGTTTGAGGCAAAAACTCCTTTATTTGCAATTTTCAACAGAATTCATTTAATAAACTATTTAAGGGAGTTTTCGTGAAAAATGAAATGGGGTATTGACTAAACCAGAAATATCTATCAATCTTCGAGATAGTAAAGTCTATCCCTTTCATTTTATGGAACACTTCCTTTAATGTCATACCAGAATACAAAAAGTCTTACACATTTTTATTGTATGCGTTTGTTGGGCCCCGAAATCAATATAAATATGAATATTTATATTAGGTTTTTTTGTGGCCCCGAAATCAATATAAACATGAATCATTGTATTAGGCTTACTTGGGCCCCAAAATCAATATATACATGAATATTTATATCCTGATTATATAATGCATAATGAAGCTTTAATGTATCAGGTATCTGTAATACATAATATAATTGATGTTAAGCATATTGTGCTCCTGTCATAGTATCTAGGAAATATATTCATCATGTCTCTACAGACTTCCACCTTAGAGTATGTATATCTTTATACAACTGAGACCGTTCTTTTCTACCGAACGTATGAACAATGTCCGTCCTAATGTCATACTTTGGGGGATGGTAGTTTGGCCGCTAGATGTCTCCTCTAATTTCTTATCTAAGATTTAAACCGAGGTGGTATTGGTTCAGTAGAGGTGGGGCAGGGATCTGGTTCAGTAGAGGTGGGGCAGGGATCTGGTTCGGTTTGATAAGGATCTGGTTTGGTTCACTTTTCCATTTGAAGGAATCGCAGAAATGGTCTTGAAAGTTCTAACAGATTTCTCCATAGACTTAGACTGAGGGGTTACAGATAGACAGATAAATATTTCGTACGCACACAATAGGTAACATCACCTAATCGACCACTGCAGTTGTGATAGGGAATAGGCTCTGTGATGTACAGGGTTACCCACAAAGGATGAGAGTGTTACCCCTTTAAATATGACGATCCTAATGTGTTCTGCCTCGAATGTAGTCTAAAAGAAACAAGTTTACAGTTGCTGGGAGTCATGATCGAATATAAAGAAACAAGTTTACAGTTGCAGGGAGTCATGATATATCCAATTCTAATCTTTTTGTATACTCCGAAAGTAGACCTCTGAGACTAAAATAGTAAAGATTTATTAATATCCGGGCTTAGGTATGTAGTACATTTAGTATTTTTTTGCAGCTTTTACGTGGACCGTTTGTAAAGGAATATTCAGTATTTTGGAAACTTAAACATGGACCTCATACAAAGGAGTTTAATATTTAGCATTTTGGGAGCTTATACATGGACCTTTTACATAGGAGTATTAAATATTTTGGAAGCTTAAACATGGACCTCTTACAAAGGAGTTTAATATTTAGTATTTTAGGAGCTTATACATGGACCTCTTACAAAGGAGTATTCAGTATTTTTTGGGAGTTTATACATGGACCTTTTAGAAAGGAGTATTCAGTACTTTGGAAACTTAAACATTAGTATTTTTGAAGCTTACACATGGACCTTTTACAAAGAAGCTTAACGTTTAGTATTTTTGGAGCTTAAAAATTGACCTCTTATAAAGGAACTTAATATTTAGTATTTTGGGAGCTTACATATAAACCTCTTACAAAGTAGCTTAATTTTACAAAGTTCAGTATTTTGGGAGTTTATACATGGACCTTTTAGAAAGGAGTATTCAGTACTTTGGAAACTTAAACATTAGTATTTTTGAAGCTTACACATGGACCTTTTATAAAGAAGCTTAACGTTTAGTATTTTTGGAGCTTAAAAATGGACCTCTTATAAAGGAACTTAATATTTAGTATTTTGGGAGCTTACATATAAACCTCTTACAAAGTAGCTTAATTTTACAAAGTTCAGTATTTTGGGAGCTTACATATGAACCTTTTACAAAGGAGCTTAAACATTGACCTCTTACCAACGAACTTAATATTTATTTACAAAAAGTTGCTTTTTAAAATAAGTAAGCAATATTACGTGAACAATTTGTTTTGCTTAAATCTCATGGATTAATTATACATATTATTAATAGAAAAGTCCGAAATGATACAAAAAATGCATAAAACTATAAAATAAACATAGTTTAAAATCTCCAATAAATTTAAATTTTTCACTGCCTCAGAAAAGTAAAAAGAAACCTTGTTATTTTATGCAGTGTGTTTCATAAAAGTCAACAATTTTCTAAAAACAAGCTAGAGCAAAAAATATCGTCTTTTTAAATACATAGCGGTATAAATTTTTAAGAATTAGATTATAAATTTTTTAAAAGAATCTCATCTATACTTTGTAACTTGTACACTTTGTCATTCATCAAAAAGCGGAGTAAATAGCTATAGAAAATAAAAAACTAGGTGCCTCTCATATTTCCATTGACACTCTATATACTAAAATGTTAAGTTTAATTCAGAGTACAGAGACAAACAGAAAACAGTGGAATGATTGTCATCTTCTTACTGGTCTGGTTAATATACTGTAAACTCCAGTTCACTTCAAGTACCAGGTCGACTTCGAAGCATCTAGAGCAAGCTGTACAGTACACATACAATGGTACAGTACAACAAATGAATCTGTCCCTTCTAGGGAGTTTCTAGTGACTACTGTATTAGTAATCATTGATTCTTGACTCTACGCTGAAGAATAATACTGAACGGTTTAGGAGATATAGTGAATCCAGGGATGTATTCATGCTCCAGGGGTGCTCCAGTATCAGGGTTCACCAGGAGATTGTAGTTTCGAACCAAACCTAGAGAAAATATAGACATATTAATACAATTATAGGGACTGTAAGCGTAATTTCAATATATGCAAAGATGGCAATGCCAGATCTGTTTAAAAATAAGGAAGCTATTGTTTGTTTTCTAGATTGATAAGAGTTAAATTCAGATAATTTATATATGTTTTCCTGCGATACAAATGCCTAAGTCACTTTTTCACGGAAAAAGCACAATTAAAAATAATTTGTTTTCAGCATTTAATACATTGATATCATTCATATTTGATCAGACGAAGCTTGAAATTACCCTTCCAGTCCGTTTAACCCTCATGAAACGTTTCCTATAGTATATAATTTGCGTATACCTGTGATGAAAATATATGATTTGCGTATACCTGTGATGAAAATATATAATTTGCGTATACCTGTGATGAAAATATATAATTTGCGTATACCTGTGATAAAAATATATAATTTGCATATACCTGTGATGAAAATTTATAATTTGCGTATACTTGTGATGAAAATATATAATTTGCGAATACTTGTGATGAAAATATATAATTTGCGTATACTTGTGATGAAAATATATAATTTGCAAATACTTGTGATGCAAATATATAATTTGCGTATACCTGTGATGAAAATATATAATTTGCGTATACCTGTGATGAAAATAAAAAGTTGAGCTTTGGCCAGGCTTTCTCCTAAGCATTGCCTTTTCCCAATACTAAACGGTATCAAGTGTTCATCCTTCCTGAAGTAGAATCATACAGAGGGGCCCATAAACTGTCCAATAAACAAGAAACAAAATAATTTGATATTGTTCACGGATCTATTTTACTTAATAAGTTAATTTTTAATCTACTGACCTATTTGCTAAAATATGATAACAAATTCCCATAAGCGTGCTTAAACGTCGTTTTCCTAATCCAGAGTTTTATGAGTCTCACTGTAATGTAATTATCTATTTTTTAGCCAACCACGAACAGTGACATCTTGGATTTTAAAGAACAGATACATATTTTCTGATCCTTATATCTTTGCAACTTGATGTCCTATAGACATTTGATATTTTAAACCAAGGAATCACAGAATTTGAACAAATTTTAAATTAGACAAAAATCCACATTTTTTACTTTCTCGTAGAGTTATTCAGAAGAACAAAAATTTTATATTTTTTATTTAAAAAGCCAAGTATAAAGGGTTTCTCAGACTTGGGCTTTTAACCAAAATTTGAGGACCTACGAGGTCACACAGTGTAAATATTTTCAATTAAAAATTCACGGTTATAGATAAGCTGTATTTACCTCAGGTTTCCAGTATTATCCAGGAATCTATCAGGATTAAACTTTTCTCCCTCAATCCAATGAGATCCCTAGAAAATGTTTATTTACCTTCCAGAATTGTTTTAAGATTTTGATTGGATAATTCTATGATACAGTCCCATACTGTCAAAAAGTGTATTTTTTTATGCGATCCTAGTACACCGAAGTACTTGCAAAGGAATTGAGTCTTTGCCACAAACTTAATTGTTCTAATTCCTATATATTTGCAACCTGTTGTTATGAACCTTTGATATTTCAACCCTAGATTATTTTATCTAACAGAATTTATAGTTTGAAATATCTAATAAACAGAATTGGGTTACAAAGATAAAGGAATTATAAAATCAGAGTTTGTGGCATAGACTCAAATCCTTTTAATGATTGTATTTCTTAGTACTGCTGATACTGTACCTGTAATATTGCTGCATAAACTGGTGTTATAAATGTATCAGCAGGGATTACAAATCCATTCACTTCAACATCCATATTAGTCTTATGGTTTCCTTTAAATAGATAGATAGAGAGGTAGAGAGGTAGGTAGATAGAGAGGTATTTAGGTAGGTAGATAGAGAGGTAGTTAGGTAGGTAGATAGAGAGGTAGTTAGGTATGTAGATAGAGAGGTAGTCATGTAGGTAGATAGAGAGGTAGATGGAAAGGTAGATAGAAAGGTAGATAGAGATGTAGATAGAGAGGTAGATAGAGAGGTAGATAGAGAGGTAGATAAAGGGGTAGATAGATAGATAGGAAGTTAGGTAGTTAGGTAAAAAGGTAGGTATATAGGTAGAGAGGTAGATAGGTAGATAGGTAGAGAGGTAGATAGGTACATAGGTAGATAGGTACATAGGTAGATAGGTAGATAGGTACATAGGTAGATAGGTACATAAGTAGATAGCTACATAGGTAGGTACATAGGTAGATAGGTACATAGGTAGATAGGTAGATAGATAGATAGGTACATAGGTAGATAGGTAGATAGGTAGAGAGGTAGATAGGTACATAGGTAGATAGGTACATGGGTAGATAGGTACATAGGTAGATAGCTACATAGGTACATAGGTAGATAGCTACATAAGTAGATAGCTACATAGGTAGATAGGTACATAGGTAGATAGCTACATAAGTAGATAGCTACATAAGTAGATAGCTATATAGGTAGATAGCTACATAGGTAGATAGGTAAAAGAAAGTACGTACCTCCATGAGGAAGTATGTTAGCTAATCTTTGAATCTCTAAAATCACTGCCTTAATATTTAACATTTTTAATAATTTTAACATTTTTAATAATTTTAACATTTTTAATAATTTTAACATTTTTATCAAGACCATGCAACCTCTTAATGTTTTATTATTATCTTAAAGCTTCAATCTTCTTTTAAACAGCAATAGAGATAAAAGTGTTGTTTTTTTAGTTTTCTAATTCTTAGTGTAAAAGTTTGAGTAAAAATGACTGATTTGACTGACCCACAAAGGATGAGACTTCAGAGACGACTTTATAGAATTCAAATTGTATTTTTTTCATTCTTATAATTATGATTTCATTCAACTGCAGTAAACTGGTTTTTTTCTTTGCCAAATCATTAAATAAGTCATTAAAAGACTATTGTAGGGCAGAAGATTTAATTTTACCATGATATCATCATATTTTAAGAGTTGCAGGCCGTCTTCACAGTCTCATCCTCTGTGGGAAACCCTGTATATTATTATTAACTAGACCTGGGAATAAGGAAGATCTTCTTTATCTCCTAGTTCAATATCTCTATCTTCTAAAACTCTATCTAACTCAACCTAAATGGACTGAACTGAATACGATCATGCGAATGTGCTTGCTAATTTTTTAATTTACTGGTTCGGGAACCCAGCTTTACCAGGAGATTTTAGCAATTAAATGAGTTACCAACTCAAAATTGCATAAGTTTATATAAAACAGACAACAAAACAGGTATGCTACCTTTTAAAGATATATATTAATAAAATATCTATAGTCATGCTGCGAAGAATGTCCAACATGAAAAACACAGTGTCCAGCAATATGCATATACTTTGCTTGTCTGTTTGAGTCTCTTCCCGTTTGTATCCAATACGTATCCAAAGTCAAAACGGCTGAACCAATCGGGCACAAATTTTGTGTGGGACCTCGCGTGACCCCAGGGAAGGTTTATGGATGATCGAATTTTAAAAAAAAAATTTCCTCCATCAAAATCAATTTTTGAAAATGTTTAAAATTCACAAAATATTTTAATGAAATCCGCAAAATTTTTTGTTTGTTTTACAATGACACAAAGAGAACATGTTAACAATGGAAATGGAAGATGGGCGCGAAGCACCCTAATGGCTTAGTGTTCCAAATTTCTGATGTGCAACCAGATAAATTTGCCACTGCTGTACTTATGGGTAAAATGAAAACTAGATGAGCCATGAGGTCACAAAGTCGTACCAGTTATGTGGCGGTAATTCACCTTTTCCTTCTGTCTAGTTTTTACGTAATCCTGTATATAGTATTTAATATTTGATTTTAGTTTAATATTCTCCCAGATATAAAACTCTGTTATAATGGCGCAGTATAGACTAGATATAAAATATCAGTGTTTAGGAACCGTGGCCTGAATTAATGGATGTAACTGTAAGTATTATTATCTTTAGAATATCTTAAATAATCAATTCTTTTACTTTTAGGAATAAAAATACTTGAATTTTGGGTTTCAGAAGAGAAGGCCTGCTTGGTTTAAGCATTCTAATTGAGTTGGTTGACTTAAAAAAAAAAATCCTGGCAAGCTCGGGTTCCCACGCTAGTCTATATATGAATTAGTTATCTCTATTGTCTGTCTGTCTGTTTGAGTGTCCTATCATAACTCATGAACCCATGGAACGATTTTCCTGATACTCTGATTGAGGAACGCGGTGGAAAAACTGTTCTCAGCGTGGTGTAAAAATTCTAAATTTTCAAGAATAATCTCCAGGCAAAGCTAGTTTATACCAGGCTAGTTTATATATATAAAGTAGTATTTTCTGGTTTTCTGTCTGTCTCTCTGTTTGTTTCGATGTCCGATCATAGCTCATAAACCCATGGACCGATTCGCCTCAAATTTTGATTGGGGAAATCAGAGAACCACTGGAATGATTCAATAATTCTAATTTGAGTGTTTTGCCTTTTAAAGGGAGTGTTCGCGAAAAATGAAAGGGGGTATAGGTTTAATGCGATAAAAAAGCGCTTTTGATCGCTACTAATAACAATTTTCTCCTTATAGACGCAACAGATGGAAGTAAGATTAGTAGCAATCAAAAGCGCCTTTTTATCGCATTAAGCCTATACCCCCTTTCATTTTTCGCGAACACTCCCTTTAATAAGGAAAACTTCAAGCAAAGCTGGGTTCCCAAGCTAGTTTTTATATAAAAACATTTGTTAAGATAAAGCACATTTTTGTTGTCAACAAGCAAATTTGCAGTGTTTAAGATATCAAAATACCAGGCAGAGAAATAAGAACCATTTTCAACATGTTGCATAATCTGAATCTTAAAATCATTGAACTGGTAACTATGGGTTCAGCAACCATTATAAAAACTCAAACATTTATCGAAAGGACTGTAGCTTTAATCACAAAAAAGTACAGTTATTTAGATTTATTTTAGCAAGGACTGGCCTTTTTACTGTCCTATGCATTAATAAAAATAAAAATAAAACAAAATAAATTCTTTAAATTATTATTCCTTAAAAGTAAAAAAAATTAATATAAGTAATTAAATCAATGATTTGTTTACTATTTATAGTTTCAGCTGATCACGACAATATTTAAAATGTTTTAAAAAATGATGAACTTAAACATACTAATGGGTATGTTCGACCCTTTAAACCCTTCACTATAGTTTCAGTAGAAGTAAATATTTCCATTTACTGATAACGCCGATTGAAGGATTCATAACTGAATGGATAATGGGATAGATAGAAAGATAGATGTTACCGCCATACTATTTCTATTGGTTCAAAACAAACACATGACTGGATGAGGCGCTAATGGACTCGGCATACAGGAGTGATTTAATGAATAATGTGGAAGATGTTCTCGTTTTATAAGCAATAAATTAATCAATAATAGTATAGCATTATTTGATGTGATATTATTTACACTAATATTTGATAAACTAAGAATATTTCCCCTTTTAACATCTTTTTCTTGTTTAATGTAATTTCCTGTTTGATAGCTTGGTTAAAATCAAATCCTAAAGATTGAAAATAGTCTTTATTGTATTGATATGAACGATGACTGCTGTAGTTAATAACTTTCTTAGGAAATTTAATACTAAGCCTTAAAAGTGCTTAACGCCTGCAGCTACGAGACAATTGTTTTAAAACCAGGGGAAAAGACACTTTAAAGTCAACCCCAGGTCTCAATTACAGCTGATAACTAATTTTGACCGTTTACCTGAATTCTCTGTTGCACCTCTGGATAGAGAACTAGGTAGAGAACTGCCCAGCGGAGAGTTGTAGCTGTTGTCTCAGAGCCAGCCTTAAAAGGATTGTTAAGAAATTTAAAAAAATGATGTCAATACATGGTTACCCATAGAGAATGCGACTGTAAAGACTACTCATGGAACTCTAAAAAATATGACGATTTGAAGCTTGATTTTGGGTTTCTGCATTCAATTGAGTATTTTAACTGTTTACTACGGAAACAAGCCAGTTTTTGGCCACAAGGAACCCTGAATGCAACAGAACGGACTAAACCAATTCCATACTATCGTCTCTGAAGTCTCATACTTTGTGAATAACCTTGTATCTATACATATAAAGTTGTATTCTCTGTTTGTCTGTCTGTTTGTTTGTCCGATCATAATTTAATAACCCCTGGACCGATTCGCCTAAAATTTTGATTGGGGAGCTTGATCGGGAGACCCACGGAAATGTTGTTCTTAGCTTTGTTTTGAGATTCTAAGCGAACACTGAGAAATTTCAAATTTTCATCTAACAAAATTTATTGGAGCACCGGCATGCATCAAATTCACCTTAGCAGAATCCATTCATCAAATTTTGTTTAATGATTCTGCTAAGGTGAATTTGATGCCGGTGCTCCAACAAATTTTGCCATATGAAAATTTGAAATTTCTTAAAGTGAAAATTTAGTTTCCCGGTAAAATCGTTCAAGTGCGGGCAAACGGCGGGAGTAAATTTTTATACTATACTAGCTTGGAAACCCGGCTTTAACTGGATATTGTACTTTCTTTAAAAAAGTGAATCACTGAATTTAAGAATCTTTAAAAGCAGCAGGAACGTTCTCATGGTTCTTCCGAGTTCCCCAATCAAAATTTGAGGCAAATCGGTCAAGGGGTTCTTAAGTTATAATCGGACATACAAAAAGACATAGATTACCTTATTATTTATATAGAAGATACCATACAAAGATAGAAGGATGAGAAATAAGATTATAATCAGTTCCTAACCTGGAATAAGTCTGTCAATGTTGCAGCAAGGTTTTCATATCCATTAGCTCCGTAGAAACTAGAATTAGGGGATGTAGTTCCTGCAATCTCAATCAGGTAACTATCTAAATAAAACTTCTTTTTGTATATTCCAATTTTTTAAAGTTTTTTAGGTTAGACATCTTTCAAAGAAATTATTTCTAAAAAGAGCAAATGTAAATAACGATTTGTATAATTTGGGCTCATTAAGGGACCCTCAAATTTTAGCGCGGCATGCCCCATTCCCAACAGTACCCTTAATAGCTTTGTCTGATCAACAACAAATTAGATATTTATGATTTTTATCCTTAAAGCTTTCCAGCAAAGTGTCATGCGGAGATCTTGCCACAGAAACAATGGAGAAAACGACAACATTTCCCCCTTTCTTGAATCGGGCAAAGCCTCTGTAAACGGAGGGTTACTTAAAGGGACTGTAAAGTAAAAATGAAAGGGGGTATAGGATTAAACCTGAGAATCTCAGACGTTGAACGATACATTTAAGATGTTTCTGTCTCTAGAAATTGATATAAAACTGTGTCAAATTTATGCGAAAATTCATAGTTATGCAATTTTGTGAAAAAGTTGTAGTATAAAACAGATCATATTCAGCAAATACGAAACCAATCTGAAAAAGACTATATCCTACAGAAACCTGAGAATATCAGGTTTGCCCTGTTTTAATTATTCAATTTTTATTTTGCATTTTTAATAGATATAATTGATAATATTAATACATCTAATCCGTATAGTCCGTATTACGTCAACAGTACTTCAGCTAATGGCAATGCAGTATACTGGTTACGTGATTTCCGTCTGTACACCACGTGACAACGATACTGCACTGTCATTGGCTGAAGTTATTGTGACGTAATACGGACTATACGCACTATTTAACGTTCAAGATTCTCAGGTTTCATCCTATACCCCCTTTCATTTTCCTTTACAGTCCCTTTAAACACGTTCAATTAACGTTTAGCCTTGTAATGACCTACCTATAAAATCTCTTGGTTGTTCCACATCTAATGTTTTGAGATGATTATTTATTAGTTCTTTCATGAGATGAATAATCTCCATGTTAACCTGTAGAACAAGAATCTTTTCAAATATCTATTAAAATTCAGCTCGGTAGAGTCAGATCTAACAAAGAGTATGCATACGGCACCAGCATAAATCTATCTTTTCAAAGATTTTACCATGGGAATTCCTTCAATAGGGGGAAATGTTTCGGTTGAATAATATT